GAGAGAGAGAGAGAGAGAGAGAGAGAGAGAGAGAGAGAGAGAGAGAGAGAGAGAGAGAGAGAGAGAGAGAGAGAGAGAGAGAGAGAGACGGCAGCGGAGGTGGAATACGCGAAGAACAGTGATGTGAGAGAAAAGGGTATGGGCGAGAAGGTAATGCACGACCGGAACAGGGGAGAGGGATTGTCACCTGACCGAGTTGGTGGAACGGAGGGAGAGATCTGGAGAGGTGGAGGAAAGATCGAGCCGTCACCCAGAAATGGAGGCGTTCGGGAGGAGGGTGTTACACATTGTGGCCGTTGGGCAGGGAGGCATTGGATGGAGAGAGACTAGGCGAAGGGGCACAGAGCGGGGTATGACAAAATTTATAGAAAAGACGAAGACGAAGTGGAGGGACTGAGTGGGGTATTGACTTTCTGTCCCATAGCGAACACATCGACTTCAGGGAATCTCTGAATTGTAAGGTTTTGTTGTATCGAGATCTATAAATGAGATCTATCTGATTCGATTTTCTATCTGCGTCGATCTATCCATCTGCGGCGATCTATCTATTGGCGTCGATCTGGATTTTTGTCTTTATACAGTCGTATCTGTTTTTAGTAATCCTCTTAGCTAAGGTCGAGGTCCCACTAGCAAAGAGGATTGGATTAAGCGCCCGAATTTGGATATGCTTTACGAAAAGATTCAGAAAAGAAGATCAATTGCAATTTTCTGCACATCTCCACAAACACGTCCGAATACAGGCCTCCAATTCAAAAATGTCGTTGTCAGTGGGATCTCGCCCCAAGTGTTGTTGTTCTGCACAGACGGACGTCCAAGGACGCGTCTACTTAACGGAAAGATGTATAAAGCTTTGTTTATTTGAGCCTGTCTCCCTCTTGTTCAGTAATTGTCTCCGTTACTTGCTTCCTTTTCTCGAGTTCTCCTCTTGAATGGTTTCCCGCCGTGGAGCGAGCCACGGTTTATCTTCATGCTGTAAATCTCATTGCGGTTGAGGCGTGTCGCAGCTCACACTGAAGGCGCGATTTCCTAAACAGAAATCGTTCAATAGTGTTTTTTTTTTTTAACACTGAAGGCGCGATTGCCGATACAGAAATCGTCCAATAGTTTTTTTTGTTTTTTTAACACTGAAGGCTCGATTTCGACAGATATCTTTAGTGTTTTTTTCGTTTTTTTTTTTTTTTTCCAAGGTCCTTAGTCTGGCTCCTCCTCATTCTGGGGAGTATCAGTCTTTCTTCTCCAAAACTACACCAGATACACTCACACGCGTCCTTCCGTCGGGGCTGAAGGATCCCTGGACAGCGTTTTGGTTACTTCAGGTGGCTGGCGGATTGACTGCCAGCTTGCCTCCTGAATACCATTCCCTCTCAGTCAGGCTCGGTAACGGAGTCTGCCAGCTAGGCGGCTTGAATACCCAGAACCCATGGAAAGAGCCGTAGCCTCCTTCCCTGTGGACCTCGTATCCCCGTAGGTCACGTTTGACCTCCTCAGGCTTGAATACCCAGAATTCCCGGTGTTGATGGGTGGATCTTCCTGCCTGACGTGTCTCAATGGGGCCCTGGGCCCCGCTTGCTCGGGAATTCTGTCTCGCTGAAGTCGGGTTCCCGCTCTTCCAGATCGCCTATAGTGTCGCTTTGCGGATCAAACCAAACCAGATTCTTTTTGGCAACAGTGTTTATGTAATGATGTATAATTTATTTGCTCCCCACTCGACTATATCTTCTGCCCAATGTGAGAGGTAGCTATGCTTGCAGGGGGCCTTTTTGGTACTAGTGTTATGTATTTATGTATTGATTTATAATTATATTTGCTCCCCACCAGACTACATCTTCTGCCCAATGTGAGAGGTAGCTATGCTTGCAGGGGGCTCTGTATAGGCTTTTAGTAGTGGTAGGTATGTACTACAGGTTAAGGAAAGGCTATATCTGCTGGCCAATGGTACAGCATGCGTGACATTTGCTGTGATTTTCTTGTTTTGGAATTTTATTTTGGCTCTCATATAGTCGGTACGTTTGATGTGCTCTCTTCGATTTCGTATGGTCGGTACCTTTGATGTGCTCTCCGCCTGGAAGCGAGCAACAGCTGGCCTTCCTTTCTGCCTTTTCCGCTTCCTGCGTCTCCTTGCGTTTGAGGTGCCACACGTTCCCCCCAAGGCACGAATTCTTTGTACTTGGCATGTTTTATTTGCGGTATTGGGTCTTGGTCCGTGGCCTTATTGCCTTATTGGGTGTGCCTAGGTCTGTGTCTGGATCTCAGGTCTGCTGCCCTGTCTGTCTCCCTCCCTTCCTTAAAATGCATCAGTACCACACGTTCCCCCCAAGGCACGAATTCTTTGTTTGTTATGTTTTATTTGCGGAATTGGGTCTTGGTCCGTGGCCTTATTGCCTTATTGGGTGTGGCTAGGTCTGTGTCTGGATCTCAGGTCTGCTGCCCTGTCTCCCTTCCTTAAAATGCATCAGTACTACACGTTCCCCCCAAGGCACGAATTCTTTGTACTTGGTATGTTTGGTATTGGGTCTTGGTCCGTGGCCTTATTGCCTTATTGGGTGGGCTAGGTCTGTGTCTGGATCTCAGGTCTGCTGCCCTTTTGTCTCCCTCCCTTCCTTAAAATGCATCAGCAATCGTGTTGTTGCTGCTGGCGAAGCTGCTTCAAGTCTTTTATTTGGTCTCGAGATGTGTTCTATCATCTATGGGATCTGTAGTGATGTGGGGGTACGAAATTTGCCTGACAGCGGGGCTTGCATTCATCATGCTGAACGGGCAGTGTTTCCTGATGCTTTGATTGCGATGATTCTGGCAGCGCGTGATGAGTAGTTGAAAGTCTGCCGCAGGTTGCCTTTTATTTGTTCCTGTATAGCGAACAAGACGACACACACG